TGCATTATGTAAAGGTACAATTCCCAATGAGAAATGTAATTGTGTTGTATACCTACAATGTACCAATAAAAGAATTTAATAAAAAAAAATTAACATCATTTTTTTTAACCTAATCATTCTATTATAAATTCCTCATTCCCAAAGAACTAAGAAGTTACTGTCAGGAGTGTCCAATATTGTCACCCTGAGAACCCTAAAAGAACAGCTTTGAAAGAACAGGATCTACCAAAAACGATCTCTCGGGAGGCAGCTGTACCTGTGAATCACTCCCCCATCCCTGAGCCACCACTGCCAATTACTGTCATGCCCTAGTACTCCACGGCTTTGAAACTCCTAAAATTTGGAACTCGATGAATTTTGACACAAATATGTGTCCCAGTACTCATGATTTGTTTGGTACTCCATGCACAAGTTAGAATTTGTCAGTGTTGACTTAGTCACTACCGTTTCCAAAAGCCAAAACAATGTTTGGTACTGGTTGTGTGCAGGAGTCAGTGAATGAGTAGAGGTACCACTGTGACTATATGCAGTACCCAGGTGTCATAAGCCATTTGTCAATCAGTTTCAGAGACAGCAGTTCAGGTACCTGCTGCTTTTCTTCTTTCTTCATACCATCTCCCCTTTCCTATTCTCTTCCCTTTTTCTAGTTTGTTTCCCCCTCTCTCATTGCTCTCATTTTGTCAATTTCAGAGCCAATCACCTCTAGATGAGGACAAACATCATACCACTAGTATCAATTTTTGTTATCAAAAACAGTCCCTTTCTTGACCTGTCTGCTTAATTTTTTTGTTTTGTTTTTGAGACAAGGTCTAGTCATGTAGTTCAGCCTGGCCTTGAACTCATAGCAATCCTCCTGCCTCAGCTTCCCAAGTGCTGGGATACAGGTGTGCACCACCATGCTCAGCTTTCTGCCTAATTACCAAGTCATGTTATGTTATGTCCTGGAAATTTTTCAAATTAAATTTCTCAATAATTCTAGTATGTGCCTTCAGGTCCCGACCCACACTACACCAACTGCCTCTCAACCAAAGCATGCTCCTAACAGCCTAAATCTTTTTGCTTGGTGTCCTTTCTCCATCTAGGACTGTATGCACTTTCTCCATTGGAGCAAACTTTAAACTCTTAAAAGTTTTTTGTTGTTTCGTTTTTGGGTTTTTGGTTTGTTTTTGTACTGTGGATTGAACACAGAACCTCCTTACTGAGCTACATCCCCAGCCCTTTTTAGAGACACGCCCCGTTTCTAAAATCAAAATAAAACAAAACAACTTTAACAGTTCCAACACCAAACTTTCGGCAAAGCCTTCTGACTTTCCAAAAGTACCAGTAAAAAATCGGCAGAAAAAAAAAAACACGTGGCTGACCGTGCCCGCCTCGAGGGCTACGAGGGGCAGATGCTGATGCAAGGCCAAGGATGACTTCCCCTCCGCAGTTCTGCTGCGGTCTGGTCAGCTGCGAGGCTCAGGCCGGGCCTCGAGTTCTCGCAGCCCGGCAGATGAAACCGCGTGCGCGCCCCGCGCCCCGCGGCCCTCCTTGGACGCCGACGAGCGCCCAGCTGCCCCACGGCTTCACCGTGCTCCTGCCGCAGGACGCCGGGGACGCCACGCGGGCAGCTCGCCGCGGCCACCCTGGACCTGGCCGGAGGCTCGGCCTGCCAGGCTCCGGCTTCCGGACTCTGAGCCCGGCCACTCCTGGTCTGCTTTCTGAGCCCCACAGACTCCCGGGGGAGGCGGGTGCTCTCGCCCCTCCAGCTCCCTCGCGCCTCAGGCGCCCCCTCCGCTCTCACTCACCTCTTGCTGAGGGGCCGCACCCTCACGGCCACCCGCACGTTCGCCATCCTTCAGCCACACCCAAGAGCGGCAGACCAGTTCAGCGGCAGCATCCCCGGCACCAGCTCCAAGCACTGCGGCGACCGTAGCTCGCCACGCCCGCCACGCGCGCCACGCCCGCCACGCGCGCCACGCCCGCCACGCGCGCCACGCCCGCCACGCGCGCCCCACCAGCCTCTCGGCTCCCGGATAGGGGCGGGGCCTGTTGAGCCTTGACCAATCAGAAAGGTGGTCTAGAGCACACGCGGCCCCGCCTAGGCTCGCCCCGCCTCCCGGGACGGCCCCTCTCTTGCTCTCGCCGCGGCCGGGGAGGGGCGATCCGGGCTGAGTCTCTCCCGGGCTTTCCCAGCTGAATCTGGATGTTCGGCCCGCCCTCCTTTGCTCCGCCCCACATGCTTCCTGGCTCGCCCTGTCCGGATTCCAATATGGACGGTAGGGTGAACCTCGGCCAATCCGCAGCTCGGTGGGCGGGGCAGGCACTCGTCCAGCCCCTCGCTCCGCCTTAGACGCCTCCACACTGAGTTTGTTTTTCCAGGCTAGGCTTTGTGTTCTTTGTGTGATATAGTCAAGTAAATCCGTTAAATTTTGGTTAATGTCCGAAAGTTTATAAAGTAATGTGCTAAAATTTTTTGAGACAGGGTCTCACTATGTAGTTCAGGCTGGCCTTGAACTCACTTTGTAGCCCAGGCTCCTTAAACTCTCAGTGATCCACCTGGCTGGGGTCGTGGATTTAGCTCAGCGGCACCGAGCCCGCCTCGCAAGAGCAAGGTCCTGAGTTCGATCCCCGGTATTCCCCCCCCCCAAATCACAAATTAGTGATCCTCCTGCCACCCGAGTGCTGGGGTTACAGGTGTGTGCCAACACACCTGGCCATGTGCTAATGATTTCTGTTGGCTGAGTTGGAATGAGCACAATATTAAAGTTAAACTTTAGGGAGCAAAAAACGAAATGGGCAAAGCAGGTGTTCTGCAGGTCCTAGCGAGGAGCACGTGTTTGGAATTTGAAAAGGAATTTGGAGTGCTTATTGGGGATCTTCTCTTGATTGGCCTGGCATCTCACGGCCAGCTTGGCAGTGTTTATGGTAGCACATCACAGTTGTTTTATTGGTTCATTCAAAAAATAGCTCTTGCACACTTACAAAGTGTCAAGGACTGAGCTAAGGAGTTGAGGAAACTGGCGAACAAAACTAAGTCCCGGTCTTTATGTAAATTAGGATCTGCAGGGAAAGGAAAGAAAGACAAAAACCTAAACATACACCATGTCCAGTGGTGCTCAGTGCAATGAAAAAAAATCAAGGAAAGGAAATACAGTAGAGTAGTAATACAGTCTGGGGAGGAAAGGTGCTATTTTATATAGGATCTTCAGGAAAGCCTTTATTGATTGATAAGGTGACATTTTCATAGATTTGAAGAAAATAAGAGAAGGGGTGATGCAGGTGCTCAATTATTTAACAAAGATTCCTAAGAAAGCTTCGATAAGGGTAGGTATTGCTGTATGAACTAGGGACATAGCAATGAAGAAAACAGGCAAAACAACTGACCTCATGGAGCAGAGTGAGAGAGACTGATGATAAGTAAAACAATTTAAGTAAAATGTTTACCACATTAGCTAAGGAGAAAAAAATAAACCAGGAAAGGACATAGGAAGTGAGAAGTGATGAAATTTTAACATGACCAGGGAAGGCCTCAAGGAGGTGACACTTGAGAAAAATTTGAAGGCATAGGGCTCCCAAAGCAAATGCTGAAGACAGCCAGAAATATTCCAGGAATAGGAGAAAGCCAGTGGAAGTATAGTGGAGTGACAGAGGGAAAATCATGAAGAAGCATGAGGTCATAGTATTCTTCAGGTTTTAGTCTAAGTGATCTGGGAAAAAATAGATAAGTTTGAGGAAAACAATAAAATTATTTCATTTATACATTTCTCTCCCACTCGTCATTCTAAGGATCAAACCTAGGGATGCTCTACCACTGAGCTACATCCTGAGCCCTTTTTTTTTATTTTTTTATTTTTTGGTACCGGGGATTAAACTCGGGTCCTTGCGCTTGCGCAGCAGGAGGCGAAACCGCTAAGCTAAATCCCCGGCCCGCCTTTTTATTTTTTAATTTGGGACAGGTCTCTCTAATTTGCCCAGGCTGGCCTCAAACTTGCAATCCTCCTGCCTCAGCCTCCCAAGTAGATGGAATAGTAAGCATGCCCAGCTGCACCTGCCCAGCCGTACCTGCCCAGCTTTCTTGTACGGGGTATGCTGATGCACACCTGTAATCCCACCATCTGGGAGGCTGAGGCAGGAGGATTACAAATTTGAGTCCAGCCCAAGCAACTTGGAGACCCTGTCTCAAAAAATAAAAAAAGAGGGCCGGGGATTTAGCTCAGTGGTTTCACTGCCTGCTTCGTAAGTGCAAGGACCCGAGTTTGATCCCCAGTACCAATAAATACATACATACATACATACAAACAATTAAAATAAAAGAGCTGGAGATGAAGCTTAGTGTGAAGGCCCTGGGTTCAATCCCCAGTATCTCAAAAAAAAAAAAAAAAAAAGTCTCTTGTTTGAATCAGTATGAAAATAAAGTTTGGTTGGTGTGTCTTTTAATCTTTACTTCTGTTAGCTTTCTTATCCCTCTCTTTCCCAACATTGAGCCCAGCATTTATTTGTTAAAGAGATTAGGTCATTTTGCTGTAACTTGCCCAGAGTCTACATTTTTCAGATTGATCCAGTAGTGACATTAAATATTGTTCTATATTCTGTATTTCTTATAAATGATAGTTCAATCCAGAGTCTTGATTAAATCAATAGGAACCTTTCTTTTTGAGTCATTTGCTTTCTTTACAATCATCATTTGAGCCCCCATTAGGTCATCATTTAAGTGTTGCACAGTAATAACATTCCTTTTTTTTTTTTTTTTGAGACAGGGTCTCACTGTGTAGTTCACGCTGACCTTGAACGCACTATGTAGCCCAGGCTGGACTCACGACAGTCCTCCTGCCACAGCTTCCCGAGTGCTGAGATTACAGATGTGCACCACCATGCCCAGCTCAACATTCATTTTTATTTATGAACCAAAATACTCCTATAAAGAGAAACTTTTTATCATCTATTTGATTACTTGGAAGTACAGTTGACAGAGCAAAGATTTAATTCTTTTCTTTATTCATCAGCTTTCAAAATATTAGTTTCCTAACATTCTTCAAAGTCCACAGGTGACTCAGTTTTCTTTTCTGTTTTTTGGGGGGCGAGGGTGGGAGTTGGTACCGGGGATCGAACTCGACCTTGAGCTTGCAAGGCAGGCGCCGGAACCACTGAGCCAAATCCCCGGCCCTAAAGTTATACTCTTAAGAAAAACTGCAACTTTAGGACCAAAAGTTACTCAAGCCTTTTTCCCTTCAAAGGAACTCATCCTAAAAGGTCTTACAGATGCAGCAAGCCTGTAAGTCGGGCTGTCCTTTTCACTAGTCTTCTCTGAGACTGAAGGCAAACATAGCTGTGAGCCCTGGTTAAAAAAAAAAAAAAAAATCAAAAGAAAGTTAAACACTGCTGACATACAATGGCAGAGGGTAGATATTCCCATTCCAAAAGGGAAAAAGAGGGCTGGGTGTTTAGCTCAGCGGTTCCGCTGCCTGCCTCAAAAGCTTAAGGACCCGAGTTCAATCCCCAGTAACCTCCCCCAAAAAATCATTCTATAAAAGGGAAAAAGAGGGAGATAGAAAAGAATGGTACCATAAGGAATATAATCCTTATGTACTACAAACATGTACTAATAAAAATAAATTAAAACTGAAAAAGAATAAGAGGAAGAGGAAGAAGAAAGAAAGAAAAGAAAAAAAGAGGAGGAGGAGGAAAAAGGGGACCAAAGCAACACCAAAACCCAGCAAGGCAAACATTAAATCCTGTATCTCCATGTCCACCACCTGGGGTAAGTTGTGAGCTGTGAGCTCCAAGGGTTTGTCACTCCCACCCTACGACACTGCTGGTGGGTGTAGTTCTCATGACTTCTCTCTTGGGCTGGCTTTGTTCCATTTTCCTGGCTTCAACCTTCTGGGGTCTCCACTGTACACTCAGGTTCACACACTGCCCGCTCAGGGGCACACTGCCTGGCCTTCCAGGCCTTCTGAAATCTGGATAGAAGCCTTCCTCACTCCTACAACCTTTCCATTTTGCATGCCTGTAAACCCAGGAGCACGTGGATGACACCAAGCTCTGCTGCCAGCTGGAGCGGTAGCCAGGCTTTCTTGCATCTTGCAGGTGGCTGCAGAGACTTCTGAGGGTCCAGATGGCTGAGCATGGTGAACTGAATCCCTGGGAATCAATTCCCTCAGGCTCCAGATCATGTTTCTGCTTTTTCCTGACATACCCCCAAGCCATTTTTCCTATTGTTTTGATCCAAAGTATTTGGCTTTTTTGTTTGTTTATTATTTTATTTGTAGGAAGAGTTGAAACAAATTTTAAGAGTTTTTCTTTTTCCCCTAAACATGAATCAATCAAATAAAACCAATTTACCTATAGAAATGTAGTAAAGTAAGGGGAAAGCACAACAACCCAAGAGGCAAAGGCTGTGAAGAAGATTACAGCCCACAAGCAACATAGGCACAAACACCACACGATTTACCTGCTCAGGACGGGCCCCAGAAGGCAAGCACAAGGACCCATGGTAAGGGGATGGCTCCCTCCAAATGTCTGAAAATGTCTAAGATTAAAAAGAGAAAAGGAGGGGGCCAGGGAGTTAGCGCAGTGGTTATGCCTCCTGCCTTGCAAGCACAAGATCAATGTGAACCCAAGTTCAATCCCCAGTGCCAAACAAAAACAGAGAGAGAGAGAGAGAGAGAGAGAGAGAGAGAGAGAGAGAAAAGGGGGAAAAAACCCCTAAAAATACACAACCCCAAGTACCACCCAGCCATAACCACCTTAATTGATGAGAGGCATTTTTTTGCATTTTATAAAAAGATTAATAAAAATGTTGAAAAAATTATTTTCTCATCTTATATTTTTACAAATATCTTTGCAGATAACAGAATTCAGAAGTTTCTTAGAAAAACAACCAGAAACTGTCTTCCACTTTCCAAGCCCTGTTGGTGAGGATCAGCAGCACGACTAGAAAGTTCAGGACACTGGACCTGCTGGTGAAGAATGGGAA